AACACTATCTCAATATAGAAAAAATATGTATATGTTTCTCTTCCATGAGTAATCAGAAAGCTAGAAGATTTAGCGAAAATGAAACATTATTCTGTTCGTCCATCTGATCATTATAAGCGCGAAACATATTTCGATTGAGAGTTTAGAGTTATTCTCGAAAGAATAAGATCTGATCGAAGCTCAAACAAATATTCTGATGTAACTAGATGAAAGAAAACATCTAGTCTAGCGGAAAAATGATGTTTTGTTTTTGCTAGTTATTAAAGTGTTTCAGTAAATTACTTTATATCAGTATGTTATTGTGGGATATTTTGAAAAACTTGAAGTTTGAAGCTACGAAAACTCCATAAAAAACCCAGCTGAAAATTCAAACTTGGTGGTCAAAGCGAAACAAATCTTCATTCGTTCTCTGAAGAGCCCGAAACGTACAAATATCACACAAAAAAATGCAAGTTGTTTCCGAATGTTTTCCAAATATCATCACATTATGATAATTACTCGAGATGTAACTGTTTCGGATATAGAATTTCGTAGTTATGTCAGGTACGCCTTCCGTTTAAAATATTAAAGTTGAATATAGAAAATATTTTCCTGTCTAACTACATCTGAAAACGAATCGTCAGAGGTGTAGATTCTCTCGTAGAAATCATGGTCATGATACTTGTCTAGATGACACTTATAGTGAACTGTGTCTATGGTGACCTCAATGTAGATTATTATGCTTGGTAAAATTACGAAAAACAAAAAAAGATAAAAATAGACCGATGAGCGGACGGTAAATACTATAATCCTGTTCATAAGGAAATTCATTTGTCTATTGCCGTTTATAGATTGGCGGAATCTTGATTTTACATTGATTGAACAAACTATGATTTGCATTCTTAGACAGAGCAAGTAAAAGTGAGTAGTTTCTACTTTAGTCTTGCATTTTTGTTTCTAAGTAAAGATAGAAGATCTAGATTTACAGCTAATAGAGGATGTCCCAAAAGTCCCTTCCTAAAAGTTTTTTCGTTTCATTTTACTATTGACTGAATTTCATCGAATAATATTTTCTTGTATAATAGATAAATACACAGAACTTTAATTTCTACAGAAAAACTTCAAAAGCATTATTGAAAGCTAAGATCTTTAATCGAAATACAAAAATTTAGTCCATTTTCTTTTTCCAGAAAAAAACATTACGTAACATTTCTTTTTCAATTACTTCAAGTTATTGAGTGATTCGAATCATTAAATTGTTCAATATTTAAATGGTCTTTCCATTGAATTTTATTTTATTATGTCTTTACAAAAACGTAATAAATGGTGTCTAATCAAAATTCAAACAATTAAAACACATATCATCCATGAGTTTTTCTAGAAAAATAAAACGGACTAAATTTTTGTATTTCGGTTAAGGATCTTAGCTTTCAATAATGCTTTTGAAGTTTTTCTGTAGAAATTAAAACTCTGTGTATTTATCTATTATCAAAAACAAATTTATTCAATGAAGTCCAGTCAATAGTGAAATGAAACGACAAATCAAATTTCAATCTCTTAACCAATAACTGACCTTGAAGCACTGTTGTTGAAATTGTAGTAGTGTTCGATGCTTCATTAGCATTTGTGAGAGTTATTGCTATTGGTATTGAAACTGCTGCTGCGAACATAAGGCACACGCAACAGCTGCCGAGAATCAATAGGAAAATTCCACGCTGCCATCTCCCATGCCTTCTAGAATATATAAAAAAAAATTACAACATATTCATTTGAACGTTGGTAATGTTAAATCAACCTTTCTGGCGACTTTTCTCTTGGTATGAACCGCATACGTTTCGATTTTGTTTTGATCGATCTTGGATAATTTGCTGGACTAACTCGATTCATTTTCTGTCTGAATATACTATACGCATGAACTACGTGACTTTAGTAAAAATGAATCGAACAAATGAAAAGAAATAAATTGACGGTAAAATTGCCAATATTCATATGGCATCAATTAAATGTTGGATGAAGGCATTGCTTTTAACAAAATATTTGACTAGTTTTATTGTTGTTGAACAAACAAGAAACTTTAATTGGCTACCTCGTCATTCATCTAGATGGATATGTAAATTAAGCATGCTGTGATAGTGTGCAGGTTTATTATAAACGGTTTCTTAAATTGAATGGTTTCTCTACAAAAAGAAAGACCTCATTATAACACACTGATTAGAAGAGAATCACAAAATAACAATCGAAGACATGCTTTACTCTCTCCGAAACAAAAGCATGAAAAACATTTTCCTGTGCGAACAGTCTTTATCAGAAGGTTCTTCTTTATCGAGGATGTGTGGGCTTGAATGTGAGAGTGTGAGTGTGAGTATTACGTGACTTAGAAGCAAATTCACAGCAACATTCACACCCTCACTCGCATCCGTACCACCCACATCCACACCGACATCTACACCCACAGCCATAGCCAGTCACACCCAACAGTATAGATTCAAGGTCGCTTCTGATTGATTCGTGGATCGAAATGCCTGCCATCTGAAGATTCTCATTGCTGAGACGGAATGTTAACATCATGATAGCTCTACGCGTCCACACCCTAATAGTATCAGACTCTTACCTCTTTTATGAATACGAAAATGAATCTTTTTCTCGTATGAAAAACATGCGATGACACTATTGCTTATGTATGCATTAGAAAACTAGACTATTCTATTTGCGTAGTATCTGACTAAGCAGGCACACAGAAATAGAAACGATCAGAATTCATTAAATGTTTTTTTTTCGCTTTTTGTTCCTCTTTTCGGATGACTGTGCATGTGAGAAAGGTTTCTTTTCGTTTTTTTCAATTTTCAGCAATTCTTTCATGATTTCGATCATTTTTCGCAAGTCAGTTTCATTTTTCCATTTCCAAGCGTAAATTAATACACTTGTTGCAATGGTGCCCAGACAGTAGGTTTGTGAGGAATCGTTTGGCTCCATGCTATCGAAAACGCTTGATTTTTCTCCGTGAAATATGGTCATCTTCCTGCGTTCTGTAGAAAACGACTTATTTGTATTGAGTAGATTGTATGATTCTCTGCTTTTTGGTTAATGGAGCGCTTCCGTTTGTTGCTATCGCATTCCATCATATCCCATTTCTTCCAAGTATCATCAAACCGTTGTCAATATTAACCTGTGTCAAGCAAACACACTTGTAATGGAAGAAATACGGCGTTTCACATCGCCCAGTATAGCGATCGTTTATGGACAAGCAAAGCTCGTCTACGACTTTCATTTTACTCTGTATTTCTTTGTATACGATTATATTTCTTCGTGTACGGTTTAGAGATATACGATCGTCCAAAATGTGATTGTATATAGAGAAACTCGGAAGGAGAGAGATTACTTCATTTTGATAGTAAATCAATAGCGTAAGATAATCTAGCAACATACCACAACATCTATAACCAATCCAGTAATTTTGAAAAATCAGATATTGACGGATACAACATGAAAATTTTCGGTATCTGATAAGCAAAAGTCTTTAACTTATGACATGATACTATCAGAAGCTATCTTGTCGAATAAAATCCTATCGAATCTGACAGAACTCTAGAATAGATCTAGCCACTCTGGAAACTTCTTCTCATTTTGACGCATGCGTTACGCTACGAGTTAGCTATCCATTGTTAGATCCACATTACAAGCTTCCCTGGGGCTGAGAAAAATAGTCAAGAAAAGTGAGCCGATATTATCATTTTACATGTTGATCTTTATCAGAAAAAACTTGCCAAGATTGTGAGAGAATGATGAGTTCACATTGGAAATATAATTGAATGATTTTGTCTCCACTAAACAGCTATAAAAATTGGGTCCCCATTAGGGATATATAACATCGCTGAAGTTGATCACTAAAATCATATAATTTAGCCTTCTTAGCTATACACCTTGGCTCATCGGCATATCAGTTTGTGTCATGTGATCTTTTCGTATGATATGGTAACATTAATCAATATATTCATGGATGTTTTCGCTAACAATCTACTTTTTCGTGAGATGCCACGCAAAACGAATGGATATCTGTTTTTGAAATAACTCATTAAGAGAAATTCGAGTATAAATCAGATAAAC